TTAAATAAACAAAAAGTCCTTATAGACCTTTTTTTTATTTAAATTTAAATTTTCATTATATAATGTTTTATTATGTAATTTATTTTTTATGATTTACAGAGTGCTGTGTATATTTTGGGATTTTCAAAATATTTTTTTGGTCACATTTTTTTATATAGAAGAAAGTAGCAGCTTTATATGGTTTATTTGTTCACATATTTATTTATTTAATTTTATTATACACCATTGAGAGCGCAAGTTATGTTCAAAGAGTTGAAGATACATACATGGTATTTGCATCGCATGTATATATTTTCCACTCGGGGATATACAGTTTGAGATATTGTGAAATATATTGAATATGGCCAAAATTGTAGCATTTCAAATATATAGCAATATATTTGGGAAGAATATTTTTTAAATATATTTCAAATATATTTTTTTTCCATGTGGGATTGTACGCCCCTTGGGGTTAGGGACTGATGTGAATGTACAATATATATGTAAAGCACTGCGTAAATGGACGGCGCTATATAAGTACCTGAAATAAATAAATAAATAATATCAGCCAGACTAACTAACCAACTGGTCTGCCATTAGGAAGACAGCAAATCCGACAAACTAAATTTTTTTTTTCTTTGCATTTTTTTCTGTAAAATCTTTTTAAACATTCTTTATATAAATCATCGTATCATTTATATACGCACACGATATATAAGTATCTGTAATAAATAAATAAAATCTACCTTTGCAGTGCCCAGTGACAGACTGCAGCACATATATCATCTTTGATTTTGCCTGTAGTCCCACCTTAACCATCAAATCAGGAGCCTGATTCCTACATGATGAGCTTCAGGTGACTCAAATTTGGTTTGTTACTGCAAAAAGGCAACAACCTAGAAATGGCCATTTTTAGTAAAAAAAAAGTATTCAAAAGCAAAGAACAAAACGTAACTGGGGTCAGCAGCGATCTATCACCATGTTCATATTACTTGTTGGGGAACGGCCAATTCCTCGATCTTTCATTATATGTCCTGATACACTTGGTGTATAGCAAACTCTGCAATTCAACACTTTTCAGTAGTGGAATCCTTTATCAATGTACATGTCATATCCTGACAGCTATGAGCGGGTGAACCGTTCCTCTAAAAGCTCTCAACCTGGCTGGCTGTGATAAGTACCAGATCAGAGATGGGCGTCTGCCGTCAGACAGGTCGGTGTGAGTCTATAGGGCCCGTACACCTGGAACTTTGCAGAGCTGTCTGCGAGCCTGATAAAGCCAGTGATCGCTTCCAGGCAAGGGGCCAAACCACTGAGAGGGCATCTAGATTATTGTTGAGGTGCACTTTAGTACTGGTGATAATGTAGGGATCGTGGGTGCAAAGACGGGCCTGTTTAATGTGATGCCACAGTTTACGTTTTCTCACGGTGGGAGGGTGACACCCGGGGTGCTCTTTGCTGAAGGAAGGGAATACTTTTTAGGTGTGCTTCATGGAAAAGCATGAATGCACATTAGTATGATCAAACTATTGCCCTGATGGTTTTTTCTTGGCCGTTCTTGGCAGATGGGGCTCACCCCTTTTCGAAAGAGCAGGGCCCTCGATCCCTCTAGAGGCCGTTTTGCATTGTATTGGTATTGTTCTGTCACATGTTCTGTCCCCCTTTGTAATGTACAGCGCTGGTGAACTATTGGCGCTTTATAAATACTGTATAATAATAATAATAATAATAATATACGTCGTTTGTTTCTGACATTACTATAGTGCCCTTGTGTACACGTCTAGCAAACTGCCAGTCTGCAGCACCTGGAGAATGTAGGGAAGCAAGGATTTCTATGTTGCGGTGTAGTCCTAAAAATGTTAAAATGATCCTCAAGAAGCATTTATACTGGTGGTTGTTTTCTTTTAAAGTGTTACTAGACCCACAATAGTAAAATCAGTCTCTATGTGCAGTAAAGCATGCTTGTTATACTCACTGTGGAGCCTAATCAGTTAATCCTCTGCATTGTGCAAAAAGGATGTTTGATCCTGTCTTTTCTGATCCTCCCCTTCTTCTGACCTCAATCCGTTTCCTGATAGAACATAGCCTTGGGGGCAAGCTGCACATGCTCAGTTTGGTGTGTATTGCTAGAGAGGTTTTTTTCCTTTTTGGAAGGTGCATGTGATCAGCACAGGGCCAATAAGCACTGTCCAGACAGAGGTCAGGGGTTCTGCATCCTCCTAGAGCAGAATGAAAACTCCTCCTACAAGCTTTAACCAGTGCTCTGCTGAACATTGATAAAAGTCACAAAACTGCTCTAACTGGTGATGAGAAAAGGGATTTAGCAGTTTATATACTAAAATAATTGCATTTCCATATTCTGTGTACTGTGGGAGACCAGATATAGAGAATGCAGGATCCTGGGTTTAGTAATACTTTAACTCATGGGTTTATGATTGAAACACACTGACTTCCTGCATTGCAATATCCTTACCTTACTCAGTGCATGCATTGTGATCATAGTTTGAATTCATTTTGCTTTCTTTTTGTGCTATATTTCTGTTATTAAATTTTTTAAAATGGTTGTAAACCCTACATATGTCCAGTGAAGTGACTAGCCTCGGGTGATACACAGAGATGAAATAAATTCTCTTACACAGGTTGTACCTGTCTTCTCTTCTCTACATCTGTTCAAAGTCTGGAATTTATAAAGCTCGTCTGAGAATTTAAGAAAAAAAGGGGCACAGAGCTGAAATGACACACTGTAGAGCTCAGTGAGGAGAGCTCTGAGAGCTGATTGGAGGGAAGGGATACACACACCCTCCACACAGCTCACAGGAACAGAGCTGAGGATTTCAATCACAGACTGTGTGCTGGAAATCCCTCCCTTGTCACCATTTTTCTCTTGGTGTCAGAAAAAACTTGTCAAAAGCTATTCACGCTGATAGCAGAAGAACGAAGCAGCAGATAGAAATTACACGTAGTGCTTCTAATTGAGACCAGTACACACTATAGAGGGGTATGCTTTGTTCCTATTTCAAATCTGAGGTTTACAACCACTTTAGTTATTTATGTAATGACAGGGCAGTCCCTCCAATTGATGATGCTGTGTCCTGGGCTACATCCTGAGATCAAAGCATCACCATTATTTGAATCACTAAGCATGCACAGTAACTCAAAAGAAAATGAATTGTTGGGAGGATCCCAACCATGAGTGGGTGATTCCTGCATAATTCGTGGTTGGACCGACCAGTAAGTGGGCATGATCTAGGTGGACTTGATCTCGGAAGTAGGGTGTGATATATGTAAGTCGTGGGCTGGGGCTATTAATTCCCTTGGCTTGGGATGAAGATGTTGGCAAATAGGTAAACTATATAACAAATTTAATAAGAAGGTAAGCTTAACAACTCACATGTTGAACAGTAAAAATAGGCTCATGGGATGTATTGTGGTACGTCTGTCGCCAGATGTAAATGGCTGTTCCGGTAGCTTCCTCCACCTTGCCTGATGAAAGAGAGCGCCAGCTGACGCTGGTGCATGCTCAGGAACGCGTTGCATCCCGATGATGTCAGACGCTCAACGTGACTAGCTCTGGAGATAGTGGAGACCCAGCTAGGCTTCACCATCCTTGCCTCGCACAGTGCAGCGCCTCCTGCTGACCGACCAGGGTTCACTCCTCTCCGGAACAGCCATTTACATCTGGCGACAGACGTACCACAATACATCCCATGAGCCTATTTTTACTGTTCAACATGTAAGTTGTTAAGCTTACCTTCTTATTAAATTTGTTATACACTTAGAGGCGCTGTGTGCCTTGTCTCTTCTTCTCCAGAATTCGCTTCACTCCATCGCAGCCTGTCCTAGTGCACACTGGATCACCCTTGCCCATATTGGAACTTATTTATTTATTTAATATACATATGGACTGCTACATTATGCGCCTGTCATTCTCCTTAAATAGGTAAACTATACATAGAAAGAAGGTTTTTTTAAAAATGTTTTTCATGCATTAAGATTAACAATTATTCATTAATCCTTTTAACTGCTCATGTATATCTAAAGCATGTTGAAAAAGCACCTAGTCTTCCTTTAAGACCACACTAGATAATTAGGATTCCATATTCAACCAAGAACCGATCAACAGGCATTAAAAGTAGCCAGTTTTATACATTTTATGAGAATGTGGTCAAGTGACCTCCCAGTGAGAGCTTGTATGGCTGGATTTTGCCACGCTTGCACCTTTAATTCTGTGCTATGTTTTTCATTAAGTTTTGACTCTTTCTTCTCGTTTCACTTGACCTGAGATCCAATAACTGGCGTCGTCATACTTCAATCTGATCCATCAGCAAAGCAGTGTTTACAATGTGGGGGAGGATCCAACAACATTAGCAATTTTCGGATGGCTTGACAGGTCCGTTACCATGTACCTTAGTAGAATTGTTTCAGATATTTTCCTTACTTTACTTTACACGACGTTAGGAAAAAAGAGGTGACACTGACCAAGACTATGATGTACACTTAGGATGACCAAACATAGATTTGTGAAAGCCATATGATAGAATATTCATCCTATGTAAGGGTGGCCTAGAGCAGCCTTTCTCAACCAGGGTGCCCAGGCACCCTGGGGTCCCTTGAGGTTTCTTCAGGGGTGCCTTGACAAAATGTCTAAGAATTGCCCAAAACTTGTGTACAAGCCAGCGGGTGGAACAAGCCTGCCTTCTAGTTACACAAAGCCACAGGTTTTCATTGTGCACCATTACAACCTTCTAGACGACAACGTCCTGACAACCAATGACATCATCAGTTGATAAGGAGGATGTCAGCTGCCTGCACAGCATCCTACTTTGACCCTACCATGCCCCTCTCCATCAGTGCTGGGGGTCACATTAGCTCAGTTAGGGAGAAGAGAAACACTGCAGTACTAGTCAGTGCCAGTGTGCAAAAGTATATTTGCTTTGGAAGAATAAATCACCTCTAATGTTGGGTGTCCTACATGTGTGGATGTTGCTGCGTTATATAAAACTATTAGAATAGTTTTTCACATTTTAGAATGGGGTGCCTCAAGACTGTCCATAATTTTAAATGTTGCTTCGGGACTGTCCATAATTTTAAAGGGTGCCTCGGGAATGTCCATCATTTTCAAGGGTGCCTCGTGACTGTCCATCATTTTCAAGGGTGTCTCGGGACTGTCCATAATTTTAAAGGGTGCCTCGGGATATCCATCATTTTCAAGGGTGCCTCGGGAATGTCCATCATTTTCAAGGGTGCCTCGGGACTGTCCATCATTTTCAAGGGTGCCTCAGGACTGTCCATAATTTTCAAGGGTGTCTCGGGACTGTGCATAATTTTAAAGGGTGCCTTGGGACTGTCCATAATTTTAAAGGGTGCCTGGACTGAAAAGAGGTTGAGAATAACTGGCCTAGAGGACAATGATAAACTCTTCAAAGTGGTTACATAAAAAAAGTTACACTTGTCTAATGAATACATCAGATGTTGGATGTAGATGGCCAACTTTAGTCTTGTCTGGTAATGTTTGTGCATGTCTTATTATAATGTGAAAAATGTGGAGGTACACCTTTATAGACCATCGGTATGATATGAATTTAAAATGTAGCTCAGGATTGTCTAGAACTCAGTAACATGAGCCCTTGGCAAGGAGTGGCTGTATGGCATACCAGCATGCATAGGCTGCCACACTACAAGCCCTGTCTCTGGACGTTTGTATGGATGTATGTGTTTATCATCACTACGGCAATGTAGAACCCGGTAGGAGACAGATTTTTAGCACTATCATCAATCCAAAGATTAGAGGCCCTTATATATATATATATATATATATATATATATATATATATATATATATATATAAAACCTGTATATAGAGCTATATATAAAACATCCTGACTAGTTGAAAGCTTTCCTTTTGCCACAACAATGCTTTGACTTGCTGTACTAACCTGTCAGACGAAAGCCCTAATTCACAAAGCTAAAACGCCAGGATAAGGGTACTTATTTTCAAAAAAGTGGCAGTTATTTTCAGTCGAGCCCAAAAAGATTTGAAAATAACAGCCCCGTGCCTAAAAATAGCGGAGCTAAAGCTAGCCATGCAAAACTAGATTTCTCTTGTTGAGCCCCGCGGGGCTGACCGAGAAAATCCAATCGCTTTCCCAATCCACACTAAATAGGAATCTGCACTGCCAGCTGTTGTGTTCAGACAGCCACAGCACCAGCGGCTGTTTGAATGCCTGAAGAGTGATTACATCTGGATGCAGTCACTGTTTGGCCTCTCTTTTGAAATTTGTTGAGTTAGGTGGTGCTAACAGGGCCAACTACAGATTGAATTTTGAACAGTAAGAATATGAATGTCTCCTGCACATAAGTGTGGAGGACTGAAGGCAGTGATCCTGACTGAGCTCCAATGAGGGTGTGTATCAGGATGACAGGCCAAGCCTTGCTGCTCTCTCACACGACTGGGGTGGGGTAGTCCAGACAAAACTGCAAAAAGACAAAGCAAAAGCCTAGCGCATTATCTCAAAAAGATTTATTGTATTATAGATAAAAACATACTGACAAACGTGATGACAATTCGCATATCTAATGACAGCCACTTGGTGCAATGACTAATAAGGGCCATTAGACCCTGATGTCTAGATGAGAGCCATCCCAGGGCCAAAATACAACTGACGCGTTTCGAGGGCAACCCTCTTCCTCAGAGGTTTGCTTTGTCTTCTTACAGATTGAATTTTGGCCGAATCAGCAGCAATCATCTGAAAATTGTTCCGTGTCCCACCAGCCTTAGGGTTCATGTACATGAACAGTTTGTGGCTCATATTTGCTGTAATGCACAAATCCTGGCATTTTCCTGCACCAAGAGAACAGCAGGTGGTGCATGCAGTGAATGGCTGTATGTGGCTGTGCTTGGGTAAACAGCAATACTTTTTCGAGTTTGCACCTGCATTCATGTAAGATGTATTTCATGAATGTGGAACTTATGTGTTCAGGGAATACGCTATGTATGCATGAGCATATAGCATATAGGCAATGATGCAGAATAGAATACCTGTGTTGGGGGGATATGATCAATATGTATAATACATCAGTGGTTCATATAGTGAACTCGGTGTAGAGCTATTCACCCTGAGGTCATCACAGAGGACAAGGGGGGACTCTTTGCGTCTGGAGGAAAAGAATTTTAATCTCCAAACACGGAAAGGTTTCTTCACAGTAAGAGCTGTGAAAATGTGGAATAGACTCCCTCAAGAGTTGGTTCTGGCCAGCTCAGTGGATTGCTTTAAAAAAGGCCTGGATTATTTCCTAGATACACAGAATATAACTGGATACTAACATTTATAGGTAAAGTTGATCCAGGGAATATCTAATTGTCTCTCGGGGGATCAGGAAGGAATTTTTTCCCCTGCAGGAGCAAATTGGATCATGCTTTGCTGGGTTTTTTTTTTTGCCTTCCTCTGAATCAACAGTAGGTATAGGATTATAACTTTTTTTTTTAATGGTTGAACTGGATGGACTTTGTCTTTTTTCAGCCAGACTAACTATTTAACTATATATATGTACCAGGGGTGGACTGACAACTCATGGGGCCCCCAGGCAATAGGGGATCATGGGGCCCCTATGTCCTTGCCCAAACTCACAAAAGCCTATGAAAAAGGTACCAGGGACATCTCATGGGGCCCCATACTGACCCCTGGGTTTCCAAATGGTCAGTCCGCCCCTGATATGTACAGCCATTCACTTACATGGCTGGCTATATGCCCCATCTACAGCTCCCCAGGTGCGGAAAAATACTGAGATTTGTAAACTACAGCAGATGTTTATGAGCCCTTAAACTTAAATCTTTGTGAATTGAACCTATTTTGTGACAGAGACAGACTGGTTCTCTCTGGACCATAGATGACCAGATAAATCTCCTTGTATTTCCGCTACTATTACAGCTTTTTTTTTTTTTTTTTTTACAAGGCTAGCAAAATTCACTTACGACGATGATGTTAAATTCATCCATGAGTAAAGAAGACACTTTGACCGCAGTTTATGTGTGCAATCCATCCACAGAGAGAAAATCATTTTGTTTTTTAAAAAGTCAACGCAAATCCGTTCATGCAAAATAAAAAATAAAAAAATCCCCTTATCTGAGTTTACTTGAAAGGAGTGTAGAATATTACTGCAGGAGAATGGAGCAAAGATTAAAGGCTTGTGTCAGGGGGTGCAGACTGGAGCAGGCTTCCTGTTCAGCCAGGCCTCCCATCCCTATAACCAGGTCCCTTTCCTCTTCTCTCCTTCTCTTTAAAGGGAAGACGGACTCCTTCTCACTGCCTGGCGGTGTCAGATTAAATACCGAGATGGCGACAGGAAAGAGGCTTGAAGGAAAAACAAAAGACAGGGGGGTGAAATTTATCAGGTCGGAGAAGGAACTGCAGGCTTGTCGGACTCCAATTTAGAGAAACTCAAACAGATTTCACTTGACACAATCTGCAATCATTACAGCCGGAGCAGAGCTAATTAAGAAATTAGCTTTCCTGATTGTTGTCTGCTCTCACCGTGATGAGCGCTTGAATAATGTTGCGTGGAGGAGATGTTCCAGGAGTGGACATTGTGACGAGTGCATTTGTTATTATTTTTATTAGTAATAATCAGCTGAGCTATTATCCATTGACTTGCACAAAAGTAGAATAAAGTTTTTTTCAACTTGTGATGGTGGCTAATGATGTAATCTCCCTTTAAGAAAAAAAAAACCAGTATGGGATCCCCTAAAAATTCATGAAAGAGCCTTGTGCTGGCATGCAGTCAGTGTGGCCAGGAACGAGGGGATAGAGAACATGCTGTCCTTCCCTTCTGAACCATACCAGGCCACATGCCCTCAACATCAGGAGGGTACCTTGCAGAAGGGCGGCAAAGCTTCCACCCCTTGCAAGGCACCTTGTCGTCTTGCTGAAGGAGACAACGGCCTTATCCTCACATCCTGTCCCTCACAAGAAACATGGCGGTCTATGTGCTGGGTGGAACTATTAGAATCTGGAATAAGGGTCCTCCAAATATCCATCCCCCTTCCTACACATAGTATTCCTTGTTATTCTTCACGCAAAGAAAAAGTAAAAAAAAAAAAAACAAAAAAAAACACCCACACCATTGAATAAGCCCTTTATTTAAATAAATGATGGCCCCCAATGTAAATCTAACAATAATCACGTCATCAAACAATGTAGATCTGCATCAATCATGATGTTCTGATGAAGACTCACAACACCTAATGAGCCTCACCACACCTAATGATCCTCACCCACCGCTACTTCCATGACAAATGACAGATACACAACCAGCTGCTGTAGGTCAACAAACTGGCTGAGAATCCAGGATGACATCATTGACCAAATAACCATATTTGGTCAATGACATCATGCAGGATCCCTGGCTGTTTTGTTTTCAAAGAAAACAAACCAGTCAGGGATCTGTCATTTAGTGGTGGTAGCAGCAGACTTTATTTCTTTGTCACCTTGCTATCACCTTGTGGCCCCAAAACATTGCTGGATGCTGTGTGCCTTCCTTACCATTTTTGGAACCATTTATACATGATGGCATATTTTTGAAGTTCTGGCTATTTTTTCAAATGTAAGTACCTATTGTTGTCTGTATCCCAGCTAGGTAGATTCTCCCTCTTTATTTGTCCTGCTAAAAACTCTTGTGGGATCAGAAAGTGATGGGAAGTGATTTTGCAGTTGTCACTAAAACATGAGGCACTGGCAAATCTTCCAATGGGGCACCTATTTGGGTGACAACTGTCCATAAAGGGAATTCCCCTCACTTTGCATAAACGTTCCTCTAACATCCTGTTGCATTTCTGAGACAGGAAGTGAGAAGAATTCTCCAAACCAGGACTCAGACCCTACTCTATTCAAAATTAAATCACGTTTTAGCTGTAAATAGTAGATAAACAACAGTTACAAAATCTCATTGTTGGGTCACCTACATTGGATCCCAAGTGATGCTGGAAACGGTCATTTGCTTGCTTGCTAATGGCATTAATGGCCACTGGAAGTATCTCTCTTGATATTCTGCAATGAGTTACCGCCGGGTTTGAGCCCCGTTTCGGCAATTATCTTGTATCACCTCACGTAGAGTTTTATTTGGCTCCTTCTATTAATACTTTAGCATGAAGCTATTTGAATGGAATGTGGAGGGAGCTCAGGCCGACACAAATTTGCTGGTCACAATACCTGGAGCAGAAGCAACACATTCCACACAGCTGACAAAGTGACAGTAATCCGAGCCCACGAAGGTAATAAATTGAATTGCCCCGTCCTTGCTATTTCAGTTCGGATCACATTTCATCCTTGTATGTATTTTCAGATCTAGGTTTAACTTCTTTTTTTTTTTTTGCGTTCTTCGACCCCCGCAGTCTCCCATCTTGAATGTCTGCAGGCTGCTTTCTTTGCTTGGGAGGTGAAAAAGATAAATGTTAATA